AGTGGCTGGATCTCAGCTCACTGCAAGCTCCGCCTCCCGGGTTTATGCCATTCTCCTGCCTCAGCCTCCCGAGCAGCTGGGACTACAGGTGCCCGCCACCTCGCCCGGCTAGTTTTTTGTATTTTTTAGTAGAGACGGGGTTTCACTGTGTTAGCCAGGATGGTCTCGATCTCCTCACCTCGTGATCCGCCCGTCTCGGCCTCCCAGAGTGCTGGGATTACAGGCTTGAGCCACCACGCCCGGCCGCCTTGTATTTTTTTATATATAAAAAAGGACAAACCCTTATGTATTTTATTAATGTTGCTGCAAACCCTCAATGGGAGTGTGTATCCATTTGGTAAATAAGGAACTTAATAACTCTGGTAAAGTTTCTTACTTTTGTGCTTTATTTGGTTTCAGGGTCTCCTTGGCAGCTGTATTCTGGAGTCTGGATGTTGCTCTGTAAAGATCTTTAATAAAATCTGGTACAAAGACGCAAGGCCTGAATAGACTGTTTAGTATTCAGACTGAGGGGCACGTTGGCCTCTGGAGCATTACATATCTTCTTGGTACCATACTTGAAGTATTTGCAAGGGCCAGAACTGTAAGACCCAAGCAGAGCTAACCAGAGAGATATCTTTGTGTGATAGTGAAGACTGATAGCAAGCAAGGCAGCACCTTGATTCGTTGTCCTGTAGTTCAGGGTTATAGGGTTAGAAGAGGGCTATATTTGAGTTTTTCCTATGCATAAGGTGATCTACGTTGCATATAGAAAGTGAACATAAATGGTCATTATATTTTGTGTCATGCTGTGCTCTAAGTATTCTTTACATATGTACTCGTTAATCAACCCCTCTGAAGTGTAAAGGAAATTTGCTTGTGCCACTGAACTTAAGATTCAGAAGTAAATTTGCCTAAGCAGTATAAAGCTATCATTAGAATCCACATTCCTAAGTTGTGTTCTCTTAGGGGATCATGGAACCAGTCATTGGTACTACAGGCCATTATGTTCTAGAGAGCTGTAAAGAACATTTAAATTGTCTCTGATTTTATTTGTCAGTATTTTGAAGTATTTTCTGCCAGTGTCTGTATTTTACAAGAAATTGGGCACTATTTTCTCAGGCAAAACTAGTGACGGACAGGTTGGCTTGAAAATCATACAAGACTGATGATAAATCACAGTCTGGTTGATCACAGAGGGGAATTCCAGGGACAGCTATTATAGTCCTGGAAGGCCAAATCCGGTGGCTGCTTCCTGGTGATGCAGCCTGGCGGGTGAGATAACCCTGGCTCCATAGACCGCTTAGCAGGTGCTGTGATTATTTGGTTGTCTTCTCAATTAGACTGAGCTGCACGTGGTAAGGGCTTAATATTTGAGGTAATTATGTAGGACGCACACTCACAAGTTATCTGCCCCCTTCCCTTTTTGACTCATAAATGGGTCATCTTAACAATTTAAGTGTACACTTCTATAGTGATAGCCCTCTGTCCAAGGGTTTTGCATCTGTGGATTCAACCAACTTTGGATCAAAAATAAAGGATGGTTGTGTCTACTGAACATGTAGACTTATTTTCAAAATATTTTCTTATGTTGTCACTTTCTTGTACACTGCAGTGTAACAGCTGTCTGTAGCACGTACATTAGATATTAAAAGTAATCCAGTGAAGATTTGAAGTCTTAAGGATGTGCCTAGGTTATCTTAGGTGTAAATACTCTACCATTTTGTATAAGGAATTTGAGCATCTGGGGATTTTGGTATTTAAAGGGGGTCATGGAACCAATCATTGGTACTGCAGGAAGACTGCTGTATATTCTCATTGTGCATCAATCTCCAGAACTTCATCTTGCAGATGTGCTGCCCCTCCCTCACCTTTTTGAAAGAGACTTTGATGGTTATACAGATTCCTGTCTTTTTTTTTTTTTTTTTGAGGTGGAGTTTTTCTCGTCTACCAGGCTGGAATGCAATGGTGCTATATCAGCTTACTGCAACCTCTGCCTCCCAGGTTCAAGTGATTCTCCAGCCTCAGCCTCCCGACTAGCTGGGATTACAGGCACCCGTCACCATGTCTAGCTGATTTTTGTATTTTTAGTAGAGACGGGGTTTCCCCATGTTGGCCAGACTGGTCTCAACTCACCTCAAGTGAGGCCGAGCACCTCGGCCTTCCAGAGTGCTGGAATTATAGGCATGAGCCACTGCACAGCCAGTTGAACTTATTTGAACATCTGCAAATCATTAAGTACTGGGAACAGGTTAAGACTGTACTGCGCTGTACTTTAGATTAGGAGATCTTTTAAATTCCTCATGAGTTTTCTTGAGTCCACTTGGAAGTTCAGCCAGTAGGAGAAGGTAGTGCTGTTAATTCCCACTAGGTGTTGCTGTTAACAAAGGAAATGTGCAGTAAGAGTAATAGCTTAAGGAGAAAGAAAGAAACGTAATGAATTGTGACAGAAAAGTATGTAGATTATTAGCATATAGATTACTGAATTATTAGGAGAAAGTGCTGTTAATTACCACTAGGTGGTGCTGTGATAAAGGCAATGTGCAGTAGGAGTAACAGCTTAGAAATAAAAATTGTGACAGAAAAATATGAAGATTATTGGTGTATAGATTACTGAATTATCAAAGTGAACACCCCTATGTAACCATTTAAAAATACCAAAATGTGTCTGGCTGTGGTGACTCACACCTGTAATCCCAGCACTTTGGGAGGCCATGGCAGGTGGATCCCTTGAGCCCAGAAGTTCCAGGCCAGCCTGGACAACATGGTGAAACTTTGTCTCTATGAAGAGATTTTAAAAATTTGCCAGATATGGAGGCTGAGGTGAGAGGATGGCTTGATCCTGGGAGGTGGAGGTTGGCAGTGAGCCATAATTGTGCCACCACACTCCATCCCTGTCTAAAAAAGAAAAAAAGACCCCCAGATTTGCCCCCTCCCTTGTATCTAAGAAGGTATGGGAGGCCAGGTGCAGTTGCTCATACCTGTAATCTTTAGGAGGCTGAATGGGAGGGTTTTTTTTTTTCTTTTTGAGACAGTCTTACTCTGTCACCCAGGCTGGAGTGCAGTGGCACAATCTCGGCTAACTGCAGCCTCAGCCTCCCAAGTAGCTGTGATTATAGATGTCCGCCATCATGCCTGGCCAATTTTTGTATTTTTAGTAGAGGTGGGGTTTCACCATGTTGGCCAGGCTGGTCTCGAACTCCTGACCTCAAGTGATCCGCCTCCCAAAGTACTGGGATTACAGGCATGAGCCACTGTACCCAGCCTAGTCTTTTACATCTTTTTCAGAAAACGACATAAGACAAACGTAGAGCTCAGGTGAACACTTGGTAACTAGAGTATTTGAGACAGGGTCTGGCTCTATTGCCCAGGCTGGAGTGCAGTGGCAGTGGCACAGTTTCACTGCAAACTACCTCCTGAGCTCAAGCCATCCTCCCACTTCAACCTCCCAGGTAGCTGGGACTATAGGCACATGCCACCACCTCTGGCTAATTTATATTTTTTTTAGTAGAGATGGGGTTTCACCATGTTGCCCAGTCTGGTTTCAAACTCGACCTCGAGTGATCTGCCTGCCTTGGCCTCCCAAAGTGCTGGGAATACAGGTATGAGCCTCTGTGCTTGGCATTTACCTTGATTTTTAAAGTAATTGCCTCCCTAGACAGTATAATAAAAAGTACTAGCAAGTATTTTTATTTTATTTTTGAGTCTTGTTCTATCACCCAGGCTGGAGTGCAGCAGCGTGAGCTCAGCTCACTACAAGCTCTGCCTCCCGGGTTCACGCCATTCTCCTGCCTCAGACTCCGGAGTAGCTGGGACTACAGGCGCCCGCCACCACGCCTGGCTAATTTTTTTGTATTTTTAGTAAAGACAGAGTTTCACTGTGTTAGCCAGGGTGGTCTCGATATCCTGACCTCGTGATCTGTCTCGGCCTCCTCCAAAGTGCTGGGATTACAGGCGTGAGCCACCGCGCCTGGCCTGTATTTTTAAAACTTAGTATGTCTTGGCCGGGCATGGTGGCTCATGCCTGTAATCTAGGAGTTTGAGACCAGCCTGGCCAACATGGTGAAACCCCATCTCTACTAAAAATATAAAAATTGGCCAGGCGTGGTGGCGGGCATCTGTAATCGCAGCTACTTGTGAGGCTGAGGTTGCAGTGAGCCGAGATTGTGCCACTACACATTGTGCTTGAACTCAGGAGGCAGAGGTTGCAGTGAGCCAAGATCCTCCAGCTTGGAGGACAGAGTAAGACTCTCTCAAAAACAAAACAAAACTTGGTATATCTTCTTTTTTTTTTTTTTTTTAAGACGGAGTCTCACTCTTGCCTAGGCTGGAGTGCAGTGGTGTGATCTCAGCTTACTGCAACCTCTGCCTCCTGGGTTCAAGCAATTCTCCTGCCTCAGCCACAGGAGTGCTGTTCAGTAGAGGAGTTTAGTGGTTCCCTGAACTTAGCTGCTATTGGAGAAGGTGGGAAGACCTCTGAGGTAATTCTTAAAGGCCTTGTGGCTCTTGGTGAAGCAGTCTGACATTGTCAGTGTCCTGTAGGAACAACCATTCAGCCTTAGGTGGTGCTGAACACAGCCAGAGATCTTAGCTTGTAATCTGTAGATACAAGTAGCAAGTAGTGCAAATAGATAGAATCCTGCTGCAGTAGTGGTCATGGCCCCACCCTCAGGGCTGCAAAAGGCTTCCAGTTAAATATCCAGGTCAAGCCCATCTACAGCACCCTTGAAGGAAAGGCCAAACAAGGACTCACCTTTTCCTCTGTGCTTTTGTACCTGGCTGTTTTTGAGACGGAGTCTCGCTCTGCCGCCCAGGCTGGAGTGCAGTGGCCGGATCTCAGCTCACTGCAAGCTCCGCCTCCCGGGTTTACACCATTCTCCTGCCTCAGCCTCCCGAGTAGCTGGGACTACAGGCGCCCGCCACCGCACCTGGCTAGTTTTTTGTATTTTTTAGTAGAGACGGGGTTTTACCGTGTTAGCCAGGATGGTCTCGATCTCCTGACCTCGTGATCCGCTTGTCTCGGCCTCCCAAAGTGCTGGGATTACAGGCTTGAGCCACCGCGCCCGGCCGTGTACCTGGCTGTTTACACTGCTTGCACCCTTGTGACTGACTCCAGTAGAACTCAGTTGAAATTTGCCTTTGTGAAGTCTTCCCTGATCTGGCTTTTGCTGTTATGGCCTGATTTATGTCCCCCCAAATTGTGATGTTGAAGCCCTAACCTCCAGCATGACTATTTGGAGATAGGGCCTTTAAGGAGGTATTGTGGCACTGGCTTGGCTCTTGTCATGGACTCTATTGCCTTTCCTGGCTGGACCTCTCTGCAGCTCCATCTTTCCTACTTCCACAGTTGGGGCTTGATGAATGAGGAGAGATTTGCTTACTTATAGCTCTCCTGAATGTTCTTCAAGCCAAGGCTATCACTACTTCCCTCTGTTCCTTTCCAGTTGAAAATAGGGTTTGGAAGAAGAGGGCAAGAAGAGGCATTGAACATGCAGATGGGGGTACATACTGCCCTCAGGGACTCCTGCCACCACCCATCACACTGCCAGCTCTCCCATCCTCCACCCCATCAGTGATCCCAAAGTAATTGGATGTTCTCTGCAGGAGAGTAGGAGGCTCAGACCAAAGGAGCCAAGGCTGAGGGCCAGGGGTCACAGGAAAGCTCGAGAATCATTTTCTTTCTATCAGGGCTTCAGATATAAAATCTGATTACCAGTGAAATAAAGATGACACTAGTCTATGTGTTTTTATTTTTATTTTATTTTTCCTGAGACAGAGTCTCACGCTATTGCCCAGGCTGGAGTGCAGTGGCGTGATCTCAGCTCACTGCAACCTCTGCCTCCCAGGCAAGTGATTCTTGTGCCTCAGCCTCAAGAGGCTGTATGAGGCACACGCCACCATACCCAGTTAGTTTTTGTAATTTTTTGTAGAGATGGGGTTTCACCATGTTAGCCAGGCTGGTCTTGAACTCCTGGCCTCAAGTGATCCGCCCGCCTCAGCCTCCCAGAGTGCTGGGATTACAGGCATGAGCCACCATGCCCATCCTGTTTTTATTTTAACTTGTGAAAATTACATGTGTTCCAAATAATATTTTAAAACAAGTTAGTCTATTCATAAACATGGTAAAAATTCAAGAGTACAGAAAAGAAACCCCTCTCCCACTGCTGAGCTCACCCTCTGCAGAGGCGCTCTCCACTGTTTCTTGTATATATTTTTTTGAGACGGAGTCTCCCTCTGTCACCCAGGCAGGAGTGTAGTGGTGTGATCTCAGCTCACCGTAGGCTCCGCCTCCCGGCTTCACACCATTCTGCCTCAGCCTCCTGAGTAGCTGGGATTGCAGGTGCCCGCCACCAGGCCTGGCTAATTTTTTGTATTTTTAGTAGAGATGGGGTTTCACCATATTAGCCAGGATGGTCTCAATCTCCTGACCTTGTGATCTGCCCATCGGCCTTCCAAAGTGCTGTAAAGTGCTGGAATTAACAGGCGTGAGCCACCGCGCCCGGCCTTTCTTGTATATTCTTAAAGAGATACACTCCATGTATACACAACTGAGTGTGTGTGTATTTTTATCTTTTCCCAGATGCTATTACCTTAAGTATGACAATACTGGCAGCTTAATGCACAATTTGTTCAGAAGCCATTTTAGAAAGAGGCCTGCCCCCTCAGGGTAACCTCATCACAACAGGATTTTAGAGAAGACTGCCACATTGGAGGCAAGAACCCTCTGAGCTGGATGCTGTCCACAGCACGTTAGGTATTGTATCTGCAAGCAAAAGGAGAAACTGGCTAACAAGCAGCACAGAACTTTATTGGAAGGCTCTCAGGTAACTCAGAATCTATGAGAAGCCTGGAAAACTCAGCTCTGAAATGAGATCTAGGGAGGCTGACATCAGGGAACACAGCCAAGGTTATGACTGAAAAGCAGTCTGGTCTAGGATGTCATCACCAGACTCTCCCAGTGAATTATTTTTCACCTGTCCCTTTTTCTTTGTGTCACTGCGAGGTTTAAAGTTGTGGGTGAGAGCATCTGATTGGCCAAGCCTGGTGTCTGACCCAGCTGTTGAAAAAGATAGCTTTGGCTTCTACAGTGGAAATGAGGCCCAGCCCAGTGCCTTACTCCATGCACTTCTCCCCCAACTAGGTAAGGTGTTGATGCTTTGTGGCGTTGTGAAATTGTCCTTGAAACCCACTGGTAGAAATATGGCTATTGGCAACATGGAGACAAGGGCTGACGCCTTTCATTGACTTCTCATCAAAGGTTACTGTTGGCTAGGCGCAGTGGCTCACGTCTGTAATCCCAGCACTTCAGGAGGCCGAGGTGGGCGGATCACGAGGTCAGGAAATCGAGACCATCCTGGCTGACAGGGTGAAACCCTTTCTTTACTAAAAATACAAAAAATTAGCCGGGTGTGGTGGTGGGCGCCTGTAGTCCCAGCTACTCCAGAGGCTGAAGCAGGAGAATGGCGTGAAGCCAGGAGGTGGAGCTTGCAGTGAGCTGAGATGGCTGTCTCAAAAAAAAAAAAAAAAGGTTACTGTCAGGCTCTGAGGAGTTAGGCTCTAGTCTTGAGGTTTCCTGGCAGCTGGTGACAGACTGGGAGCTGGGAGCTGCTTAACTGATGAGCTTGCCCATCAGTCAAAGAGAACACCTGCTAGTAATGTGAGCTCTTGGGGATAGACCCAAAGGGTGAGCCAGAGTCAGGGATGGAACCACCAATGTTAGCATAGAGAACCAGGAGAAGCACAATGTATGTGAGAGGACAGTGGATAAAGGGTTTTTTGGGGGGTCCACTCCCAGACAGAATCTGGGCTGGCAAGGCTGCTGAAGCCCACAGCGTAATGTGATAATCTGGAGCCTGCTACCTGCATCTGTGACTTCACCCCCAAGGGGAGGTCCAAGAAATTTCAGCCACAGACCCCACCCAGCTCACCACGTCCAGTCTGCCATGCTCCACACTGTTACCTGGGAAATGAAGCAAAGGCTATGAGTATCTCAGTGCTGCTGTGGTGGTGAGGCAAGTGGGAACACCTTCCTCTGCAGTGCTTTTACTAAGGAGACTTGAGATGTGGGGAGAAGCTGAGCATTGCAATCAGAGACCTGGGATCAAATTCTGGCACCAGCACTGATTCATTGAGTGGGTGACCTTGGACCTTTCTGATCCTCAGTTATCTCATAGGGCTGTTGTGGGAGTTAAAGGAGATGTAACTATTAATACGTGTTTCTGTGTTTCTTCTCTAGTGTTTATCATCTAGTATATTACCTCTGTTTGGAGACGTTATAACAGCTAAGAGCCCAGCTACGGCGGAGTGTGGTGGCTCACACCAGCACTTTGGGAGGCCTAGGCTGGTGGATCAGTAGAGGCCAGAAGTTCAAAAACAGCGTGGCCAACATGGTGAAACCCCATCTCTACTAAAAATACAAAATTTAGCTGGGCACGGTGACTCACGCCTGTAATCCAAGCACGTTGGGAGGCCGAGGCAGGTGGATCACGAGGTCAGGAGTTCAAGACCAGCCTGGCCAAGATGGTGAAACCCCATCTCTACTAAAATACAAAAATTAGCCGGGTGTGGTGGTAGGCGCCTGTAATCCCAGCTACTCGGAAGGTTGAGGCAGGAGAATCTCTTGAACGCGGGAGGCAGAGCTTGTGGTGAGCCGATACTGTGCCACTGTACTCCAGCCTGGGCGACAGAGTGAGACTCCGTTTAAAAAAAAACAAAAAAAAAGGAAAGCGGAATCTACACCTTCTCGGCCAGTGGTAGCAACTGCAGAACTGCAGGAGACAATCTTTCTAGACAAGGCAGTTGAGGAGGGAGCGCTTGAGGGGGACTGGCCTGGCGTGCACTCCGCACCTCGGGGACGTTATTGAGTGTGGAACAGCTGCTTTTGGAAGACTATTGCCCAGAAGAAAAGATGTTTAGTTTTCACAAGCCAAAGATGTACCGAAGTATAGAGGGCTGCTGTATTTGCAGAGCTAAGTCCTCCGGTTCTCAATTCACTGACAGTAAGCGCTATGAAAAGGACTTCCAGAGCTGTTTTGGATTGCATGAGACTCGTTCAGGAGACATCTGGAATGCCTGTGTCCTGCTTTTGAAAAGATGGAAGAAGTTGCCAGCAGGATCAAAAAAAAAACTGGAATCATGTGGTAGATGTAAGGGCTAGACCCAATCTAAAGACTACATTGAAACCAAAGAAAGTGAAAACTCTATCTGGGAACAGGATAAAAAGCAACCAGATCAGTAAACTGCAGAAGGAATTTAAACGTCATAATTCTGATGCTCACAGTACCACCTCAAGTGCCTCCCCAGCTGAATCTCCTTGTTACAGTAACCAGTCAGATGACGGCTCAGATACAGAGATGGCTTCTGGTTCTAATAGAACACCAGTTTTTTCCTTTTTAGATCTCACATACTGGAAAAGACAGAAGATATGTTGTGGGATCATCTATAAAGGCCATTTTGGGGAAGTCCTCATTGACACACATCTCTTCAAGCCTTGCTGCAGCAATAAGAAAGCAGCTGCCGAGAAGCCAGAGGAGCAGGGGCCAGAGCCCCTGCCCATCTCCACTCAGGAGTGGTGACTGAGGTTTTTATGTAGAAGGGGAACAAAAAAAAAAAAAACATCTAAATTTTGAAAAGACCACAAAGCAACAAACTGACCCTCTGTTTTGTTTTTGTTTGTTTTTTTTTTTTTTGAGATGGAGTCTTGCTCTTGTTGCCTAGGCTGGAGTGCAGTGGCGTGATCTTAGCTCACTGCAACTTCCGCCTCCCGGGTTCAAGTGATTCTCCTGCCTCAGTCTCCCAAGTAACTGGGTTTATAGGTGCCCACCACCAGACCCAGCTAATTTTTTAGTTTTTGTAGAGATGGGGTTTCACCACGTTGGCCAGGCTGGTCTCAAATGACCCTCCTATTTTTAACTTGGATATCTGCTATTCTGCCAAAAGATAATTTCTAGAGTAGTTTTGAATGGGTTGATTTCCCCCAGTCCCACAAACTCTGAAGCCAGTGTCTAGCTTACTAAAAAAAGAGTTGTACGTAATATTTAAGATGCTGAGTATTTCATAGGAAAGCTGAATGCTGCTGTAAAGTGCTCTTTAAGTTTTTTTTTTCTTTTAATCCCCTTCTAATGAATGAAACTAGGGGAATTTCAGGGGACAGAGATGGGATTTGTTGTATGATAAACTGTATGTAGTTTTTAGTCTTTCTGTATTGAGAAGCAGTGGTTGGGGCATTTTTTAAGATGGCTGGCTACTCTTGTTTTCCCTCACGATAATAAATTTGTCATAACTCAGTAACATGGACTTGCCCCTAGAGGTAGTTGTTGATAATTCTGAAATATTAAGGTCTTGCCAAGTTTCTGATGATTCAAACCTGTACTACTGATTATTAAGCAGGACAGATTGAGCTTTCTGTTGCAAATACCTTGGAGGAGAAAGTAATTTCTAAATATACAGAGGTAACTTGACGATATATGTTGCATCCTGTGCCTCCTTTCATATTAATATTTGATAAAGATTTTAATTTATGTAAAACTTCTAAAGCAGAATCAAAAGCTCCTCTTTGGGAAATGGCAGGTCTTTAGGACAGGCGAGACCCCGTATGAATAGTACCAAAGCATTACTGCATGGTAGAGAGCACACTCTATTAAAAATGTTAAGCTATCTGAAAAATAAAATGTGCAAGTCTTCAGGATGGCACAAAACAAAGGTTAATGCTTCTTGGGGCACATTTCTTAGAGGGCTTGCTGAGTGTGTACATATAATTGACTTTTGTTTGTGTTACATGACTTTGATGACCATTGAAAATCTGCACAATTCAGTTTCAGCTCTGGATTACTTCCGTTGACCTTTGTGAAGGTTTTTATCTGTGTAGAATGGGTGTTTGACTTGTTTTAGCCTATTAAGTTTTTATTTTCTTTCACTCTGTATTAAAAGTAAAATTTACTAAAAGAAAAAACAAAAAAATTTAGCCGGGAGTGGTGTGGTGGCATATGCCTGTAATCCCAGCTACTCGGGAGGCTGAGGCATGAGAATTGCTTGAACCCAGGAGGCAGAGGTTGCAGTGAGTCGAGATCGTGCCACTGTACTCCAGCCTGGGTGACAGAGCGATACTTTGTCAAAAAAAAAAAAGACATCAACACTCATTGTGGAAAACTTGGACAACAAAGGAAAACATGGCTAAGAGAAAAATAAAAAAGAGCCCAGCTCTTCAAGCTGGACAGTTTGGATTCAGCATCAGGTATACAACTTAGCAGTATGGGCCCCAGCACATCAGTTACCTCCCTGTGCCTCCCTTTGGTCATCTGCATGTAGAGTGCTTAACACAATGCCTGACCTATCACAGCAAGTGCCCAATTAGTGCTAGCTGTTACTATTACCACTACTTAAGCATATCCTCTTGGATTTTAATAGCTAAATTCATGATATTGGATTCTCCCCATCCCAACTATATGTACCCTGACCACAGGTGCCATGCTTTCTGCTTCTACTGAAAGGTGGGCATAGCTGGGCAGATAATCATCCCCATTTTACAATGGTGAATTTGGCCTTTTACTGTGTGCCTTGTTCCATTTTCCTCTTGATTATTTCTAATTTTTTTTGTTTGTTTGAGGTGAAGTCTCATTCTGTCACCTAGGCTGGAGTGCAGTGGCATGATCTCGGCTCACTGCAACCTTCGCCTTCTGGGTTCAAGTGATTCTCATGCCTCAGCCTCCCGAGTAGCTGGGATTACAGGTATGCACTAGCACACCTGGCTAATTTTTGTATTTTTAGTAGAGACGGGGTTTCACCATGTTGGCCAGGCTGGTTTCGAACTCCCAACCTCTGGTGATCTGCCCACCTCGGGCTCCCAAAGTGCTGGGATTACAGGCATCCATCTAGTGATTATTTCTGATATCTGATGTTGCTGTGTATAAATGCAGCTGTTGTATTTCAAAGTAGGGCCTGCCAACATGAGACAGGAAAACATTGAAGTATCGTAGAGAGTTAATAGTTTCAACCTCAGAGATTGTTTTTCTTACTGTTCTCCTCAGGGACATTAGAGTTTGATAATGTTTTATCTACCAAACCATTCTCTCTTTTTTTTTTTTGTCCTTATAATACCCAGATTGGTATGACTCTCTGTTATTAACCAAAGCTACATTTATAGCGTAAGCATGACCATGGTGAGAAGATAATTGTTATATGCCCTGAGCTTTCTGTAAACATTTAATCTCCTGACATCCCTTATAGTGGACACATTTCATTACTAACTTCATTTTACAAGTTTAACCCATGCAGTACATATTAGGGGGAGTTGGTGATTTTTCTTAGGCTTTAAGAAATATTGGCAGGGTATGGTGGCTCACATCTGTTATCCCAGCACTTTGGGGGGCCAAAACGGGAGAATCCTTTGAGCTCAGGGGTTCAAGATCAACCTGGGCAACATAGCCAGATTCCATCTCTAAAAAAATTTAGGCCGGGCATGGTTGCTCACGCCTGTAATCCCTGTACTTTGGGAGGCTGAGCCAGGCAGATCACGAGGTCAGGAGATTGAGACCATCCTGGCTAACAAGGTGAAACCCTGTCTCTACTAAAAATACAAAAAAAATTAGCCGGGCATGGTGGCGGGCGCCTGTAGTCCCAGCTAGTTGGGGGACTGAGGCAGGAGAATGGCGTGAACCCGGGAGGCAGAGGTTACGGTGAGCCGAGATCGCGCCACTGCACTCCAGCCTTGGCGACAGAGCGAGACTCCATCACATACACTCACACACAAATTTAAAGACTAGTCAGACTTGGTGGCACATGCCTGTAGTCTCAGCTACTGGGAGGCTGAGGTGGGAGGATCACTTGAGCCTGGGAGGTGAGAAACATTGGCTGGTCTCCTGGCCCCTTCCCAGAGCCACAGCCCCAGGCGCTTGCTTTCTGAGGTGCTGCTTGTCCCAGGGGACTCAACTGCTGATGGTGTGCCCCAGGTGCAGGATATTGCCACCGGAAAGTACACCTGTAAGGGGATGCTGGGGTCTTGGGAAGGAAGGTGACTGTTAACCTGTGGAGATCAGCTTACTGTATGAGCATTGGCCAAAATGACCCTGCTGCCCAGCCTCGGCCCAGATCAAGATCTAGAGGCCAGGAAGGAAGTGGGCCTACCTCCCCACTGTGCCATGCAACTGGTCAGATATAAGAGGTGGAGATACGGGCTCCACCCCTCCGGGACCACCAGCAACCAGGGTGTTTGCAGCCTGGTTTTCCACAAGTCTGCCCCACCCCTAAGGCCACACAGCTGAAGCTTTGGCTCTGCTTTCTTGCTTTCATTCCAGGGATGGTCAGGCTGCCATTGGGCCACCTGCTGCCCCTGGCCCCAGACTCTCTGGGTAGGTGGCCATGTGATCCAGCTGGCAGGACCACCCCACCCATTTCAGTGTCCTAATTCTTACTTTGTTATGCCATTGTGGCAATCTGGTGGTAAATATAACCTTTTGACAGAGTTTTTGAACTGTCTGGAACCCAAGATCCTAAACATTTTTTAACCGTATTTGGGTTATCTTTTATTTTGGTTTTTATCCCCAATGGAGAAAAATCAATATGGAAAAAAGTTATTTTAAAATACACGATGAGTGGCAGCAGTGGTGGTAGGGGAAAAAAAGGTTAAAAATTTTTTTTAAATAAAAAATAAAATACAGGATGAAGAGAATTAAAAGATTTGTTTAATGTACTTCAAGGATAATATTTGTGTCTGCAAAATTTGAGAATAAATTGGTCTCGAATTAAAAAAAAAAAAATTTAGAATGTCAAGATCCTAACTTCCAATTTGAGAACAAGTAACATGAGTCTGTGGATTGGAATGACTTACGTGATCCCAAACCCTCATTTTCACAAAGAAGTAGATGGAGGCCCAGTAGCTTTGAAATTCAAATGAAGCCATGCCTCTGCTGCCTAGTCCAGTGCTTGTGCTAACCACTCAGCCTGCCCAGGTACAACTGGGTCTCTGTCCACCGAGCAGGGAGTCCACTGTGATGTATGCATCCTGCCCTCACTGGCAGGCCATTGACTACAACTGCAGCCAGCCGATTCTCAACAGCCCTTAGTGTGGTGAGCAGGAGAGCTCGGCGCTTTGAGCCCTCAATTGCCTGGAGAGAAGGTAGAGCTGGCCTTTAATTAAGGACTTTTTTGCTTTTTAGAGGGAGCTTCCAGGGAAGCATAGCACAGCAATAGGGCCACTTTCCTGCCAGAGGGGGTGGGTGCCAAAGGAGGTGGATCTTTTGCTCACTGGTTTACCCTCAACATACCAGGAAGAATAGTCATCCTGATTCACTGTTTGGTTCAGGTTTTTATCACACAGTATTGTGTGATAAGTAACCACTGTTTGGTGGTTACTCTGACTCGGCGTGGTGGCTTATGCCTGTAATTCCAGCACTTTGGGTGGGAGGCCAAGGCGGGTGGATCACCTGAGGTCAGGAGTTCGAGACTAGCCTGACCAACATGGTGAAACCCCATCTCTACTAAAAATACAAAAATTAGCTAGGCTTGGTGGTGCGCACCTGTAATCCCAGCTACTAGGGAGGCCAAGGCGGAAGAATCGCTTGAACCCAGGAGGTGGAGGTTGTGGTGAGCTGAGATTGCGCCACTGCACTGCAGCCTGGGCAACAGAGTGAGACTCCTTCTCAAAACAAACAAACAAAAAATGAAAATCTAATATATCCATATGGTAATGAATGTTTCCTTTTATTTTGTTTTTATTTTTATTTTTTATTTTTGAGATCGAGTCTCACTCTTTGCCCAGGCTGGAGTACAGTGACACAACCTAGGCTCACTGCAACCTCCACCTCCTAGGTTCAAGCAATTCTTCTGCCTCAGTCTCCCCAGTAGCTGGGACTACAGGCATGCACCACCATGCCCAGCTAATTTCTGTATTTTTCGTAGAGATGAGGTTTTGCCTTGTTAGCCAGGCTAGTCTTGAACTCCTAATCTCAGGTGATGCACCCCCCTCGGCCTCCCAAAGTGCTGGGTTTATATTGTTGTTTTATTTTATTTTTTAAATCTTGTTCTTTGGAAGAGCATTAAGAATAGTCATAAAATGACTAGTCTCCATGCTGGGGGAGGCAGCATGGAAAGAGCTGGCTTCAGAGATAGCTGGGCCCAGGTCTGAATCCTGGCTCTGCCGTCACTCTCCAGCCCAATGACTTTAGTCACTTCACCTCACAAGGCTGAGTCTCTGTTTCCTTATTTGTGAGGGGGCAGGTGAGCGGCAATAGTGCCTGCCTTACACTATTACACGATTTGGTGTAGTCAGTGGGAAGCCTTGTTCCAGGCACTGGAGGACACAGGTGAAACTGACACCTTTCCTGCCTCAAGGGCCATCCTATGGGTGTGTCAGGGGAGACTACACAGGTCACATAAAAGACCTGCCATGTGCCTGGTGATGGAGGAGGGCAACTCTGGGGTTGAGGTTATAAGGTGGGCCTGGGCAGACAAAGCAGGAGAAGGTATGTGCACGAAACCGCACTGGAGGTATAGTCAGCTTGGGGGAAATGGGGCGCCCTGCCTGGCATGTGGGAAGGGTTCAGTCAGCTATGATGCCCATATGTTTGGGAGGAGTGTGCCCTGGATCTGCCCCTATTTTTTCCCTGGGTGGGCCAGTGATATGGTGCCTTCTTTGCTTTGTCCTGAGCATTCCCCTTGGGGTGGGCACAGGCAGACTCAGTGTCCCCACTCCCCTCCCTCTGCTGCCATTATCAGCTGTGTCCAGATGGTCACAGGCTCCCTAATCTGGGATAATCAGTGGGTCAGAGCTCAGCTGGGACCCGGGCCTTTATGCCTGCTGTGATGGGCCGGCCCCAGCTGGAGAGACCCTGTAGACAGGGCCCTGGGGCTTTGGAAGATGGGGTGGGATGTGGGGCTGGCTCTGTGCTGGAGGGAGATGCAAGAAGCAGATGATCGCTCTTCTTCCAAAGGCAATCTGAGTACAAATGAGGGGGAGCCCGCAGCTGGGGCCTGGCCAGCTCCTCCAGGCCTCACAGCGATACGCACAGAGCCTCACAGAATCTGTCTATTGTATCTTTTGTTCCCTTTCTCTCCCTCTCTGAGCTCACCCCTCCCTACCCAGCAGTTTGTTGCTGCCCCTAGAGCCCCAGGCTTATGACATCAGGGGCTTGTGCCCCCATTGACGTTGGACACCTAACAGGTTCAGGTGCAGAGCCAGGGTGACTGACTTCTCAGGCGCCCATGGCTATGGTGCCCCCACCCTGGGCCTGCAGTTTGCTGTGAGCCTCCACTCCGTGGTTGTTCAGGGATCCATAACTGTTTTTGTTTTGTTTCAGCCTCTTCCATGAATGGGGCGGGGGCCCTGCTTGTCTCCGGCTCCTAGCAGTGAGTGCTGATAATCTCAAATTTAAGGATGGTAACTTCGTCTCGGAGGAGCGTGGGAAAGGATGTGTTTAGGAACAGACACAGGCCTACAGAGCTGTTTGTAACCATCTCTTTCTAAGTGGTGGGAAACAGACATTTTATTATTCTTTAACTGTTTATATATATAGTGTGTTTTTTATGCATGAAATATAGTTTTTTAAAATGCTCACACTACTATTTTGAAAGTAAATGAGGTAATGTATGTGTCAAAACCTAATACCTAAAGCGATCATAGTAAGAGGTGGGGCCTTTGGGAAGGCATTAAATTGCTTAGGGAATGAGGGTGGAACCCTCATGAATAGGATTAGAGCCTTATAGAAGAGGTCGGAAGGAGCTGCCTGGCCTCCCTCTCACATGTGGAGACTCAGCAAGAAAATATTATTTAGGAAGCAGAGAGCCCTCACCAAACACCAGATCTGCTGGCCACTTGATCTTGTACTTCCCAGCCTTGAGAAGTATGAGAGATAAATTTCTGTTGTCTATAAATCACCCAGTCTAAGGTGTTTTGTGATAGTAGCCCAAACAGATATAAAAGTGCTTCATCAAGAGTAAACACAGGGAGCAAATATTGGACATTCCATCTCAGTCAGGGCAGACTGCAGCTGGAACACAGACCCAACAAGGTTTTATTTCTACAAGAAAAGAGACCGTTAAGTGAAGGGCTGTTTGTGTGGAGGTGCCACGAGGGAGCAGAGTGTGCGTCTGAGCTCCGCGTGCCTCTCCGCCTCCTGGCTCAGGCTGTCCAAATCTGAGTCACCTGCCCAAGCTCTGGATGATGGTGACACAGCCGTGGGAGCTGGTGCAGCGCTGCAGGGATGGCTGGGCCTCCACCTGCCCACTGCTGGGGTCAAAGGTGAAGACTTTATTGGTGCTTTCTCCGTGATCATCCCGCCCACCAAGGATGTGGACCTTCCCGTCACACACAGTGACTCCACAGCTTTCCTGAGTGGACAAACAGAAAGACAATTAACTATCAGGTTCAGCCTGGGGCTCCTTCTGTCCCTGCCTGGCCAGGCCAGATAATAGGACCTTGACCCACAGACTGTGAACAGGCAATCTGGATTGTAGAGAGGCAGGAAACTGGATGGATCTGAGTTCCAGCTCTAGCTTGATCCTTATTCAGTGAATGGCCTTAGGCAAGTCGCTTAACCTCTCTGGACCTCAGTTTCCTCATCTGCAAAGGGAGAAGAACTAGAGTGCCTTCTTCACAGGGTTCCCTTAACAGTTAATGGAAGTTAAGCATGTAAAGCATTTTATATAGAGCCTGGAATATGGTAAGCACGCCAATAACAATAATCTCGACTGCCGCCATCTTAGAATCGCAGACTCAGGGAAACCTGAATTCTCACCACTTAAGGTCACCAAAGGTCAGAACTGGCAGAGACCACCAGTCCAACCATACCTGTGTAATCTCTGGAGTTTCAGGGGATGGAGACGAAGGTAGGGGAGGCAAGGAACTGCAGGGGCCAGAGCTTCCAAGACTTGGGCCTCCCTGCTGTGATATCACTAGAGCAGAACTTAGCAACTCCCTTCCCCACCTCTTACCCCATAATTGGTTACTAGCAGTGGCCTTCAGGGCAGGAGAGACCACAGGGTCATTTGGACCAAATCCCCACTCAAAGCTATAGCACTTGGGACTGCAGGGTTCTAGACTCTGCCTTAACAGGGCCTAGTTGGCCTGGGCCAGGTGCTGAACCTCTCTAAGGCCAGTCTTCTCATCTGTGAAATGCATGGTTCACTATCACTGTGAGGACAAAGCTAGAGAGCGATGTATAATAAAACCACCTAGCGTGGAGTCACACAAGATTCACAAGCTCCAAGATCCAGAGCCTTAGAAGTGGGTTCCGCTCTCCTACCTTGAAGCCTCCACTTACCACAGGACTGGGGAGGACAGCTGCCTCCCCCCACACATCTGTGCCTGGATCATAGGTGAAGATTTTGCTCATGAGACCCCCCATGACATAGATGGTGTCCTCAAAGGAGATGGCCTCGAGACACCGCTGTGAGAAGGGTGCTGGTGACCGCAGGCTCCACCGGTCCTCCTTGGGGTCAAAGCACTGCACCTGAGGGGCAAGAGGAGCAGCGGTGATGAAGACTCACTGCCCCATCCCAAATGCCCCACTGCCCACATGCTGCCACCTGTCTCCCTGGGGGCACTCATTCAAAACGATGACACCTGGCCCGAGCAAGCATCTGGGAGGGAGGGGGAGATCCACTGTCCCTGTCCTCAAGGGCTCTTCATCTAGTTATATGTTCTGTCCTCTGCTTCTGGACTTCCTTTGTCAAAAGCCTCCCCATCTTTCAAGGTCCTGCTCAAATGCCACCCCATCCTTAAAGGCTTCCCTGGTGTTCCCCCTCCCCACCCCCCAAAACACACACACAGGAACAGTCTCTCCTTTGATGGAGAACACAGTCGCCTCATGTAAGATTAATCATAGAGCACATCATACCGAGCGAGAAGAGGTACCGTCTGCTTCAGGGTTATAGAGGGTTCTCATAGCAGACCCCCCATAGGGATGTGTTCCTGGCTGCATACACTGTCAACTCACTTTTTTCCTGGTGCTCTCAGGTCATACAATTCCAGCTGAGGTGTCTTGCAGCCCTATTTCTACAGCTGTCTACATGCCCATGGGTGTTTCTGATGCCCTTAACAGTTTCTGTACTTAGCTGCCTGCTCACCTCACTCTCTGTTTCCTCAACTGTTTCCTTGGAGACCCCCACCTTCCACCACAGCAGCCTATAACAAATCAGTGCTGCATGGATGGTGTTAAATGGGGCCTCCTACCATGAGTGCCCATCACTCAGCTCCAGGAGGGTTTGCTGAAAGAATGTGGTCAGGGAATAAGGAAATTTCCCAAATTTGGGAAAGAGTCAAGTCCCAGGACCACAGGCTTATGAGGCCATCAGGGGAGGGAAGGAACTGCTATGATAAATATTTTTATTTGCAAAAAGCCTAAATGTCCAACAATAAAAGATGAGTAGACTCTAATTCATCCACCAAGTGGAATAGTACAGGCATTGAAATGATGGCTGTAAAGTTGCTAATCACGTGGAAAGTGCTTATACCTAAATTAGAATAAAATGCAGAATGCAAAATTCTAACAGTGAGAAAACAGAACTATAAGAAAAACAAAGATCAATTCAGTGGAAGCCTGTAAGGCAATGCACCAAAATATAAATAGCAGCTCTGCCTGGATGGTGGGATTATGGGTTTTTTTTTCTATTTTTCTGTTTTCTATATTTTCAGTAACGTATTATTTTTGGAATGTAACAAAAGCATTTTAACTATCTTGCCCTCAATTTTTAAAATGTATGAAACTTATGTGGTGCCAGCCCATACATTTGAGTCCCAGTGTGCTGCTGACCCACTGTGACTTTGGGGTCATTTTTATGCTCATTTCCTTCCCGGAAACATGGAGGTGACTGGTCTGGGCTGTTGATGGGATTAAGTGAAGAACTAGACAAGGACACGGAAACGCCCAGCTCTGCGCCTGGCACACAGTGGTCGCCGCAGCCTTCAACGCCCTCTTGCGCCCGAGGCCCACGCCCACCTTGTCCGTGTTGACACCGCCCTGCCTGGCGCCCCCGATCACGAAGAGCTGGCCCGCGCAGGATGCCACCGCCGCTGAGCTCACGGCCTCCGGGAGGGGCGCGGCGGCCGCCCAGGTGTTGGAGAAGGGGTCATAGCGCTCCACGCTGTGCAAGCGCCTCAGGCCGTCGAAACCACCCACCGCGAACAGCTGCAAGTGAGGACATGGGCCAGGGAGCCGGGTGCCAGGGCCTTAGGCCCCTCGGCCTCACCGCTTCAGTTTTACAGTCTTTGAGCTGCAAATTTTCCCTGTCCCCAACCCAGCTTCAAGACCAAACTGACCCCAGAGCCCAGTGCTGCCACCATCTGGGGGGCCTCCACCCAGTTGCTGTACCTCCCTGAGCTGGTTTCCTCTCATTTAGGGGGGATAATGTGACCTGTCTTTAGGATGGGTACTGAATGCGGGTTACAGCTGTAAAATACCTGGCACCAAGCTGATGCTTAATAATAATAGCTAGGCCGGGCGCAGTGGCTCATGCCTGTAATCCCAGCACTTTGGAAGGCCGAGGCGGGCAGATCACGAGGTCAGGAGATAGAGACCATCCTGGCTAACACGGTGAAACCCCGTCTCTACCAAAAATACAAGAAAAATTAGCCGGCCTGGTGGCGGGTGCCTGTAGTCCTAGCTACTCTGAAGGCTGAGGCAGAAGAGTGGCGTGAACCTGGGAGGCAGAGCTTGCAGTGAGCCAAGATCGCACCACTGCACTCCAGCCTGGGTGACAGAGTGAGACTCTGTCTCAAAAAAAATTAAAAAAAAAAAAAAATAATAATAGCTATATAGCTAGTTTTGAGACTTTACCACCCCACTTAATTGATTCTAAGAAGCATTTTTGTTTCTGAATTCGGGATGTAGCTTACGAAGAGAGTTGAGAGATTCTTTTTTTTTGATACGGAGTCTCGTCTCCCAGGCTGGAGTGCAGTAGCATGATCTCGGCTCACTGCAAGCTCTGCCTTCTGAGTTCACACCATTCACCTGCCTCAGCCTCCTGAGTAGCTGGGACTACAGGCACCTGCCACCACACCCGGCTAATTTTTTGTAGTTTTAGTACAGATGGGGTTTCACCATGTTAGCCAGGATGGTCTCGATCTCCTGACCCGTGATCCGCCCACCTCAGCCTCCCAAAGTGCTGGGATTACAGGTGTGAGCCACCGTGCCCGGCCGACAGATTCTTTTAGTCTTGAGTGGCACAATCAAGATTCAAACCTAGATTGTATGGCCCCAGAGCCCGCACCCTTGACCATCAGGCTGTTACTATTACAGTAATTGCTATTATTATTAACATCAGCCATTATTATGTTACCTTGGACAAGTCTCTTTTTTGGGGGGCCTCAGACCCCTTCTTACAAAGAGGGTTTTAGATAACCTCCCTCCAGGACATCCACAGATCTGTACCTTGGGTCCCAGGGCAGCCGCTGCAGCTTGTGCCTACCTGCCCCTGCACAACTGCCATCTTGTGCCTCCACCTGCCCTTGTGCAGAGAGGCTACCTTGATCCAGGTGTGCAGATGGGAGCTAAACATCCACACATCATGACTGTTGATGTGGCCTCCTAGGGAGAGAGAAGCAGCTGTTGCCCACAGGCTCTCTTGCTATCCCAAGTACCCGCAAAGAGCTAGAAACTAGGGCCCCCAGATCCAAAGGAAAGGTTAAGGGAAGGCAGCAAGAGGACTTCTTGAGCTGGTGTAAGACTCTGGGCCTGTGACCCAGACAGTGTGCTTTGAATAAGTGGTGAGAATGTCTTGAGTTATGACCTTTGAGGGGAGAAGCCTGACAGATTCAGGAAGAAGTGGCTGGTTTTCACTGGGCGCCTTATGGTGGTGCTCGTGGTGTGCCAGGCTCTGTGCTCAGGGAAGCAAAGAGGGGGCCGCTGTACGAAAGGTAAGAGTACAAAGGGTACCCAAGGCAAGCATCTGGAATATACTAGGGACCCAGGAAAAGCAGAGTCAGCTGCACTAGGAGCCAGGAGGGGTAGAGGGTGACCCAATAACCCTCCCTCCCACCTTCACCCGCACAATTTCATTTCTGATCTCATCCCTCCATGAGGTGTTGGGAATATTACACCCAGTTTACATATAAGAAACTCAGATGAGGCTTAGAGACCAACAATGACCTGCTGAAGACTACATGGCCTTTTGTCAGAGCCAGAACCAGAGCTTCTGGCTCCAGGCCCAGCACTGGTGCTGCTGGAGGACATGGTATGCCCTATGGGGCCAGGCACTGGGGACGCAGGATGTGGGCTGTCCCTTCCCATGTCTGGCCACCCTGGGGATCTCGGCCGGGGATTCACCTCTCAATGGGAGTCTCTTTGGGGACAACCCTAACTGCACCCTTCAGCCTGAGCCTGTGACCAGAGCCACATCTGTTTGGTAGCCCCCATCTTTGTTTATTCCTAGTGGCACCCAACAGAGGCCCCACATGTTGCTCAGAACCATCAATGGCCTTGGATAAATTGTCCAGTGGTAATCTGTGGCCTGGATGATCTGTGAGGCCTCCCTAGCTTATTCTCCTGCTCCTTACCCTTTGCAGGCACCCATAGTTCTTTACAACGTTAAGGTCAATCCACCTAGCCCCAGACTCAAAGCCTCCGTGATCTGACTCCTGCCTCACCTGTGTTACTCAACCTGCACTTCAGAGCCCTGAGTCCCCAGGGTTCCTTTCTGCATGTCCCTGCCCTTGTGCCTTTGCCTATACTGTTCCCTCCAACTTTCAAGGTCCAACTGAAAAATCATCTCTTCTATGAACCCTGGCTAGATTCCCTGAGTGGCATTCCAGATCATCTGGGGACTCTGAGAATTCCGATCACATTCTGCCTGGCGGTAAAAGTGAAGTCTCTCTCTCCTCTCCAGGACACTCCAGGGGAGCAAAGACTGTGTTTTATGCTTCTCTGAGTCTTCAAGGGCCTGAGCCTCAGGGAGGACACAGTTTGTTGCTATCAAACAGATGTGTGTTCCTCCTAGCTTTGCCATTTTTGAGACAATGGGGGAAATTCTGAGCCTCTCTGATCCTTTCTTATCTGTAAAACAGCATTGTAGGGGGATTTAATGATAACGAATGTAAGCTTCTTAGCATATGTTCGGCACACAGTAGGCTAGATGAAGTGATTATTAATACTAATACGAATTGAATTCCCTAGGAAACCTGCTCAGAACAAAAAGTAATCATATGAATTGAAGTTAACATTGCTGAATAAC